TGGCAAACTATGATGGTGACAAATGCCTGGGATTACTGTCTCAGTAAACAGCGCCTTTCATCCAGGTGCGCAGGCCCCAGCCTTGAAGTCATTGTTGATTCCTTTCTCTCTCCCACCCAACATGGAACTCTTCAGCAGAATGTGTAAGGTCTACCTTCAAAATGCATCCCAAGTCCAAGTGTTTCTCACCTTTCTTTACCATGCCAGTCCAAGCTACTCTCACCTGACACCTGGACCATTCTAAAAGCCTCCTTGGTCTTTGCTTCACCTCTCACTCCATAAGTTCTACTCTCTACCCAGTGGCTGCAATGACCCTATTAATCAAGTTCTGTCATTTCTCTGCTTTCACCTCTCCAATGTCCTCCTGTCTCCTTTTGAGTAAAATCTAGAATCCTTTCCATGGCTCCAAGGTCCTAGTAATCTAGACCCCAACCTCTCGTCTACCTTCATTGGCTCTGTCATTCCCTCCTCTCCAGCTGCTCTGGCATCCTACCTCAGAGACTTAGTACAGCTATTTCCCCTGCTTAGAACGTTCTTCCACCATTTATCAGTCCTCACTTCCTTCAGCCCTCTGTTCATGTGACATCCTCAGAGAGGCTCTGCATGGCACATATTTTACTGTCTCCTATTAGAATGTAATCTCTTTGATAGCAGGATCTTTATTTTGTTTATTGCTCTATCCCCGGCACCCTAGTAGAGTGTCTGAGAATGTGCTGAATGAATGAATAAATGAAAAAATACTGCAAATGCATAAATAGCTTGCTTGAAGTCTGATGATGGTGCTGACTTGCTTTCAGCGTCTCTACTGAGGAATAAAAAGAAATTTGTTCCTCAGTGTTCTAGAGATGTCACAGGGCTCACTTTGTTTGAACCAGAGGTAGGATGCCCCAAGCTCTACCTGTTCAGGTAGTTCTCCCCAGAAGCAGCTCCGGGCAGGATGAGGGAGTCCTATGAATTCTAAAACCCCCACAGAACAGTATTTACAAAGTACTAAATCAGAGATTTCTAAACGCTTCTCTAATCCGAAACTCACAGTGAATGGATCAGAAGAAGCAAAAAGACTTGCCCTGGTCTGTCCTTCCCCTACAGCTGCTACACTTCTCTGAAGAGTAGACACAGAGAGACAGAAGAAGGAACTTGATGCCCTGTGACATTATTGCCGATAGAGTTGCAGTGCTAAATTCTGATTGAGCCCTGCTGTTTCAGAAGTGTAATGTCAAGCAGTGCACTAATGATATGAAGAAACTGCATCAAGGAAGCCAGCTCATCCTTGGGGAAATGAGAACACACTGCCTGACGTCAGCATGACACCCAACTCCTATCTTAGCACAGGCTACGGATATTATGCTGCTGTCAGCCCCATTATGGAAACGATACAGAAATCTGCAGCAGACATTACTCTCAGCTTCTGGACTGTGAATCAATGACACCAATGCTTCAGGAGCCACACTGGAAGGCTAGACAATGTCATCAAACTTGAGGATTCAACAAGGTAATGGGACTGAATATGGTTTCTGGCACAGAGCTGCTATTAGTCAGAGCAACGTGAAATTCACTGCTACTAGAGCTTCCTGGGTGGATTCACTCATTCATTCAACAAACATTTGCTGGCAATAAAGAGATCTGCCAGGCAATAAAGAGAAAGAAAAAGGCTACAAAAAATTACCCTGTCTTTTGTAAACTAACAATATAATAACCATGATGACAGTACTAAAAAGAGCAGCCAGCTGGGTGTGGTGACATGCACCTGTAATCCCAACACTTTGGGAGGCCGGGGCAGGAGGATGGCTCAAGGCCAGGAGTTTGGGACCAGCCTGGGCAACACAGTAAGACCCTGTCTTTATTTATATATATTTTTAAAAAGAGCAGCAACTCTCTCTCTCTCTCTCTTTTTTTTTTTTTTCAGCACTTGTCCTACCAGGTACCGCTGGATTCTTTAAGTGCAATGTCTCATACTGTCATCACAACAGCCCTGGGTATTATTGTCCTTGTTTTGAAGATGAAGAAACTGGGGCTCAGACATTGATTCAGAGTCAGAGCAGGGCTCCAATCCCCTCTGACTATCAAAGCCAATGCCCATAACTTCCAGGAAACATTGCTTACTCTAACCTAGTATAGTAACCTAAGTAGGATAAATAGGGACCTCACCCTCTGGTGAACGAAGGGAGGGTTTCTGAAAACAAAAGGAAGGCCAGGTGTGGTGGTTTATGTCAGTAATGACGGCACTTTGGGAGGCCAGGGAAGGAAGATCCCTTGAGCCCAGGAGTTCAAGACCAGCCTGGCTACATAGGGACACGCCACCCGTTCCTACAAAAAATGAAAATAAAATTAGCTAGGCATGGTTGTGTGCAGCTGTGGTCCCAGCAACTAGGGAGGCTGAGGTGGGAGGATCACTTGAGCCCTAGAGGACGAGGCTCCAGTGAGCTGTGATTGTGCCATTGCACTCCAGCCTGGGAGACAGGGAGAGACCCTGTCTCAAAAAACCAACCAACCAACAACAACAACAACAACAAAAAACAAAGGGCCAGGCATGGTGGCTCACACCTGTAATCCCAGCCCTTCGGGAAGCAGCCAAGGCGGGCAGATTTGCAATTAACAGTTCAAGACTAGCCTGGCCGACATGATAAAACCCCGTCTTTACTAAACATACAAAAATTTTGCTGGGCATGGTGGTGCATTCCTGTAACTACTTGGCAGGCTGAAACACAAGAAATGCTTTAGCCGGGGAGTAAGAGATTGCAGGTTGCAGTGAACCAAGATTGCACCACTGCACTCCAGCCTGGGCAGCAGAATGAGACTGTCTCAAAAAAAAAAAAAAAAAAAAAGAAGAATATGGTGAATATAATTTTCTTGCCCCTACTGGTGGAATAAGTCAGTCCAGGAGCCCAAGTCCGGAAATCCATAACAGACTGCAAAAAACAATGAACGTAGGTGACAACATACACCTTATTTCCAACTGAGAAATAAGAAGGCCTTAGCAGGGAAAGTCCATTTTCCCAGACTTTGTAGTGGGGTGGAGTGGTAGAACCTTTCTCATTTGACCCCCATACATTTGACATTTCTACTTATTAGCAATTAAAGTGGCTGGGCACAGTGGCTCACGCCTGCAATCCCAGCTTTGGGAAGCTTTGGGAAGCTGAGATGGGCGGATCATGAGGTCAGGAGTTCGAGACCAGCCTGACCAACATGGTGAAATCCCCTCTCTACTAAAACTACAAAAATCAGCTGGGCATGGTGGCGTGTATGTGTAGTCCCAGCTACTCAGGAGGCTGAGGCAGGAGAATTGCTTGAACCCAGGAGGCGGAGGTTGCAGTGAACCAAGATTGTGCCACTGCACTCCAAGCGAGACTCCATCTCAAATTAAAAAAGAAAGAAATAAATAAAGTATTACGACACTTACTCTCCCTTCTCAGAACCCCATAGCTTCTCATCTGTAACTTCCTCAAAGCAACTGCCATGTTCTCTTACTACCCTGGAGAGTTGCTCACAGGTGCTAATTTATTTTTACTAACTACATTACCTTACAGGAAAGGCCAAACATGCATAATAGATAATACCAATCACACATTGTTAAAAGAGGCAGGTGGATGAGGAAACAGTGACCTGCCCAAGTAGCATAACCAATACCAAAATCCACTTGACTCACAGCCCAGTGATCTTTTAAGGACATGATCCTACCTCTTCTATAGAACCATGTAAAAGGCTGAAAAACTTTGAGAAACAAAAGGAGAAATGCACACACATGTTTCTGCAATCCAGCCAGAGGCTAAAAGTCCTTGTAGCAGGACAAGTACAATTTTTTCCATTCTCACAAAGCAAACAGATGAGAATCGTTGTCAAAAGACAAAAATGACAAGAAATTTAGTTTAAAATCTTAATTGGCTTGTATTTGCATTCTACAACCAGGCAATGCTTCATTTTATAAAGTAGAATGAGTGCTCTGATGAGCTGAGCAGAGGAGGCTGGCTTTATAGACAGAAAAGGGCTGAAGAAAGCAGAAACACAGAACAGAAAGCCAATTGCTTGTTTCAAAGTTATTTTCCTTGTAAAGGTTGAAGAAGAGAGGGCTTCCTCATCATGCCAGCTAAAACTGGCTTATTTGGGGATTTGGCTACATTAACCATCTCTCTCTCCTGATTTCTAGGAATGTCAAATATGCAACTTAGTTTCAGCTTGGTGGCATGGAACTTCAGCATAAGTGACTCCATGTTTGGTTGATCTGTTGGTCATAGCACAGGAGCTCAGCCCAAACCAACAGCCTCTTATAAATTTTATTTAACGTAGTGATAACAACAATATGACCATGGTAATAATAGAGACAGCTTACTATGTGCCTGGAACGATTCTTGAGACTTTACAATTTTTTTTAAATGTCCTAAGTTCTTGAAGGCAAGGGACTTTACTCATATTAACTCTTGTAATTATTATAACGATATTAAGTGGGTTCTATTATTATCCCCACTTTTTAATGAGGCAAGGGTAAGTGGAGATGTCAACTAACTTGCCCCAGGTCATCGCAGAGCAAGTAACATGTATTGAGCACTTCCCATGTGCTATAAACTAAGTCCAGAAATTGTACTAAGAACAATTAACTCCTTTAATACTCAAAGCAACCCTAAGATACCTGCTATCATTATCACCACTTTCAGAGGGAGCCAGCGGGCTCGAGGCAGCCTGAGCCCGGAGCCCGCGCGCTTAGCTGCGTGGCTAAGGGCAGGGCGAACTGATCCAGGCTGGGCGCGCGTGGGGCGGGGGCTGGGCAGACATCTGTTCGCTCTAGTCCTCCGCAAGGGCCGTACTGGACGTCAGCTCTGAGTGTGGCCAAGGCCCTAGGCTTCTCCAGATCTGGGCGCCCCAGCCCGGGAACCCCGTGCTAGGAAGCCTTCGCGCATCGCGGGCCTCTACTGCCCCCTGCCGCCGCCCAGGCCCTACAGGGAGAGCTTGCCCACAGCCGGGGCGCACGGCCGCTAAGCCCCCCGCAGCTCCCACCCACGACCAACCTGAAACCCCTCAGAGGAAACGGAAGCCGCCGCCGGGCATTTTCTGCGCTCCTCTCTCCGCCCTCAGCTCCCTACGGACTCCCGTCGCCTTAGTCACTTCTCGTAGGCTGGCGGATAGAGCCCAGCGGCTCCCCACCCACCAGGCTCGCCGCCCGCGCTCCCAGCGCCCGAGTTGCCATGGTGAAGGACGCGGGAGAAGCGCCGGAAGGGGCGCAGATCCCAGGGAGGGCGCAGAGGGGGGCCACGCGGGTCCTGCCTCCATCTGGGCCCCCGCACTTCCGGTCTCCTGGGCTTGGGGAACACCCCTTGCGGACCTCGCTGCGGGCTTAGGGTCTCCGACATGAAGGCAAGTGGAGGCTCGAGGACGCAGAGACTCTGTCTGGGCTGCTCGAAGTCCAAGGCGGTAACCCGGCTCGGGTCCTCATTTTCTTGGCTTCAGTGCTGCGCTGCCCGCGGTTGCCATGGTGACGCGGGCTGCCGAGAAGGACAAGGTCCCGAGTCGCGTGCAGTTGCTCCTCGCCATCGCCACTCTCCTCCCCCAAGCTGTGGTTAGGAGACGCCAAAAGAGACACACCAGGGCGCGACCCAGACTCTCCGGACCGCCGGGGTGGGGGCTGCTTCAGGCATTGGTACAGCTCCTGGGCCCCCAGTGACCGCACCCTCCTGGCCTCACACCACGGGGTGGGTTTGCACGACGGTGGGCCGAGCCCTGTCGCTCAGCGACACTCTGACTTTTTCAAGGCCGCCTAGCTTTGGGTACAATGGATGTCTCATACTGAATTTTAATCAGTTTCTTACTGGAGGACATTAATATTTTTTCAATCTTTTGTTACTGTGAACAATACTAGAATAGTGTGGTGATATCCCTGTATGTACGTGCACACGTGCAACTTTCGCTGTAGAATAAATGTCCAGAAATAAAATTTCTATGTCGAAGGCCAAATGCAATTTTAATTTTCATGAATATGACTAAATTGCTCTTCAAAGACACTAGCAAATTTACATCTCCACCAAAACTGGAGTCTGGTCATTTTAATTAGGGTTATATCAACAGTGATGAACTGTTGCAAAAGAATTTTCCAGAGTCTGTGCCATTAAACCAATTCTTTGATCAGTTTTTTTAATACAATGTAGTTAAATAGTCCATATCCACTTTTATTTTATGGAAATTGTCTTCACTGAGTGAAAATTTATTCTTTTACATATAAATTCATGATAAAGATTTTACTTCTTTAATAATTTGTATGTCGAATTTTACTTTGGTTTCCATCATGGTGATATTACTTATTTTATGCTTATTTTATTGAAAAAAGAAAAAAAAAAAAGCAACTCCAACATTCAGAAGCTAGCCTGGCATCACAGCTCCACCATGTAATCCTCCTATTGTACATAGCATCACAGAATAACAACCTCAGATATGGTTACAGAGAGCATGATAAAGTGAGACATAGCAAATCTACTTTGAAATTTTGTCTAAGCACAGACAAAACCAGTCACTCTGCAACTCACAAAATATCAAACACCCCTCTTAGAGAAAATGAGTGACTGCTACTTCTTACTAATTACAATTTTATCTTTGTTCTAGTCTGCCTTCTCTATAGATTATATTTATTGAGATACCCAGTCATGGAATTAGCTCCTGCTTCCTGACCACATCCAATCTAGGGTGAATCCAACTTCTATAGACCCTCCGTAAATTACCCATAAAAGCTCAAATCCAATAATAGGTTCTTTATAACACCCTTTTGCAGAAGATACTCCCATAGTTCTGTCTCGGTATGTACTCTCCCTCAACGCAACCCAACTTGTTCAACTAGAGGTGCGTCCTGGTGGTCTTTGGCTAAAAGGCATTGACACTAGCAAGTTCCATTTTCTTTTCTTTCTTTCCTTTTGAGACAAGGTCTCACTTTGTCGCCCAGGCTGGAGTGCAGTGGCGCCATCACAGCTCACTGCAACATTAACCTTCCTGCTCAAGCGATCTTCCCACCTCAGCCTCCTGACTAGCCGGACTACTAGTGTGCACCACCACGCCCGGCTAATATTTTATTTTTATTTTATAGAGACAGGCTTTCACTATTTGCCCAGGCTGGTCTCGAACTCCTGGGCTCAAGGGATCTGACTGCTTTGGCCTCCCAAATTGCTGGGCTTACAGGCATAAGCCACCACACCTGGACAGAAGTTCCATTTTCTTTGGTAAAATTTTGTAGGTCCAAAAACCTGTCTATGGCCGTCTTCTATAAGTGTTTAGCAAGGAGCAAATTTTACCTGGGCAGTCTGCTTTAGTTTGTGTTGATTATTTCAACCGGATCTGATTTCCTCTGCTTTTTGTAATTTCCAAGGTTACCTTTAAGATGTCTCTTTTGAGTTCTTTTCATCACAAATTTCACAGGTGCCATCTTAACCATTGTCAATTTTATGGTTTTGCTTACAAATAATACAAAATAAATGACTATCAGGGAGAGTGATTATGAATCAGACAGAAGGCTGATAATTTTTTCACCTGCTTCTTGACTCAAGAACCTTCAGTAGGGCAGTGATGTAGGACTTGGATATATAGCAAAGTAAAAATGGTCTGCTTCAACTGGCAGGCTTACCATGTGCACCATGTTCTTTACTAGCCACTAGGAACACAGGTCCTGCCATGAAAGTAATTCACAGTCTAATCAGAGCGATATAGGAGCTGGCTGGCCTCAACTTGCCAGATGGATGACAATGAAAAGGGCCTTCCAAATGGAGGAAACAGCCAAATGCAATGAGTTTATTTATTCAGTAAATATTTATTGAATACTTACTTTGTGCCAGGAACTGGGCTGAGCACTGGGGATGCAGGAATGAACATCTTCCATGTGGCCCCTGCCCTCCAGAAGCTCTTGGTCCAGTGGAGGAGATGCATATGAAATAATCACACCAGTGACTGCAACGTGTAATAACCACTGCAGAGAAAATCCAGAGTTCTGTGGGAGCCTGGGACAATGGCATCCTGACAAGTTGGGGTCAAGGAGGGCTTCACTGAGAAAGTCACTTTTAATCTATGTGAAGGATGAGATGATGTTTGCCAGACGAAGAGGAGGTTGTTCTTGGCAGAGAACATAATTCATGCCCTGAAGTGTGAAAAGACTTGACCCTTCTCATGGGATGAAAGCAAGCCAGTGGGGCTGGAATGAAGTGGGTTGGAGGAGGCTGTTGGCATATGAATGAGATGGACCAATAACTGATCCTGCAAGGGCTTGTCCACCACCCTAAGTTGTTTGCATCTTAATTTAAAAGCAAGAAGTCAGGGAAGAGTATCAAGATAAGGAGAGGGATGATTCTGTTATAAATGCGTTTTGCTATGTCTATGGGACAACGGACTAGGAGGCGGCAGGGGGATGATAAACATCACAGAACCAATTAGGAGAATACTGTAGTTGTTCACAGGAGTGACAATCATAATTGACTAGGTGGCATTCAGAGGAGGGAAGAATCCAGTGGAGAGTTGAGAGCAGAAATGAGATTAGAGTGGATTGAGGAGTGTGTGAGGTGAGGAAAATCTGTGAAAAATATGAGAAACAACTCAGTAATGGACTGAATCCCACACCCCCCAAATTCATCTTGACTCCTGATGATTTTGAATCCTGCTGTATTTGGAGATAAGGCCTTTAAAGAGATAATTAAGGTTAAATGAGGTCATATGAGTAATGACCTCATATTAGCCTCATCAAATATGACTGGCATCCTTCTAAGAAGAGAGACACCCAGGGTGCACACACAGAGGAAAAACCGCACGGGGATAACTTGAGCAGATTGCCCTCTGCAAGCCAAGGAGATAGGCCTCAGGAGAAACCAAGTTGCCGAAACCTTGATCTTGGATTTCCAGCTTGTAGAATTGTCAGAAAATACATTTCTGTTGTTTAAGCCACTCAGTCTGTGGTGTTTTGTTGTGAGAGTTCTGGCAGATTAATACGAACCCAGATGTCTCTGCAATGAACAGTTGGGAAAGAAATTATAATGTATCTATATTATGGGAAAGAGTCTCACCCTAAAATATGCCCATTCAAGTTTAAGATTTTGACTTTAGGAGGAGTTTCATGTCCATTAAATTTCTTTTCTTCAGCTTATGAGGATCTCACTGCATTAGCGAAGAGCGATACTGAGCCTCCGGAGCAGCCTCCACACAGTCATCTCCACGGCGACATAGTTGGTGCAGGTTGTAAGTTTGCCAGTTATCACAGTGATAGACTCAAGCATCATTTGCATCATTTCCTTTGTCTCTCTTACTCTGTTTTTAAAAAATTTTCATAACTTTGAGAATCGTGTGCATTTTGTTTATGAACTTGTGCAGTAACTGTATTCCATCAGTTAACATAGTAATTATCTTTTTTATTTATGAAAATTCGCCCTATGAATTTTCTTAGGAACAAATTAACCTTGCAATGAGGGGGTTGACTGATGAATTCTATGCAAATATTTAAAAGAATAAGGTAGGGAAAAATGAAGTAGAGCTATATATAGTGACATGAAAAGATGACCAAACCATATGGCTGAGTGAAGAAAACAGGTGTATGCAGATTATAAAGCTCTTTTTGTTTTTTGAGTTTATATTTTTTATTTTATTTTTTACAGGGTCTCGCTTCCTCTCCCAGGCTGGAGTGCAGTGGTATGATCATTGCACATTGCAGCCTCAACCACCTGGGCTTAAGTGATCCTCTTACCTCAGCCTCCCAAGTAGCTGGGACTACAGTTGCATGCTACCATGCCCAGTTAATTTTTGTATTTTTTTGTACAGACGGGTTTTTGCCATGTTGGACATGTTGGTCTCTAACTCGCGGCCTCAAGTGATCTGTATACCTTTACCTCCCAAAGTGCTAGAATTACAGGTGTGAGCCACTGTGCCCGGCTCTTTCTTTGTTTTCGAACACATATAACCATTTGTTAGTAGATGCTTAAGGGAAAAAAATCTGGAAACATGTACAGCCTTTTTTTTTTTTTTTTGAGACAGGGTCTCTCCCTGTCACCCAGGCTGGAGTGCAGTGGCACGATCTCGGCTCACTGCAACCTCTGCCTCCCAGGTTCAAACGATTCTCTTGCCTCAGCCTCCTGAGTAGCTGGGATTACAGGCACATGCCACCATGCTCAGCTAATTTTTTTTTTTTTTTTTAGTAGAGATGGGGTTTCACCATGTTGATCTTGTGATCTGCCCACCTTGGCCTCCCAAAGTGCTGGGATTACAGACGTGAGCCACCGTGCCCGGCCCCAATTTTTAAGGTACGTATCGTAAAAATCTTATCAGTTAAGGATTTAGGTTTTGCCAAATGAACCCCGTTGATGAGTTGATAATCTCCTCTAGAAGGGAAACTGTAACCCATAGAAATACATTGAAGGCCAAGAAGTCAGTGAGAGAGCCACGGTCTACCGCTCTGACGCTCCCATGCTTACTATCCATGACACATGACCCAGTGTGACCTTTGGGATCAGGCCAAGTAGGAAACACTATTAAAGCTTAGTATCTCTTCAAGTTTCAAATAAACATAACCATGAATATAAATCCTAATATTTTCTATCCCAATGGATCATCTTGAACACCCTATGTGCCCTATTTGACCAAACACTGTTATTTCTATAACTCTACAGATGGAGCATTCTACAAATGGATTGGAGGGTGATTCATTAGCATAGTATCTATATGCAATCAGAATACAATTTTGTGCATGAAACATCTACTGTGTATGATT